AGAATTGAAAATGGGGCTTTCAGAGCTTATAAACTTAGTTATGATTTGATGCTGACAAGACTGTTAGCATCTTTCATGGACCTGTATCAATTAACTGGAAATAATGTCTGACTTATCACTTCGGATTTTTATACAATTCATACCAATGTTGTCTCAATCTTTAATCGGCAGACATAAGAAATCAGTGTCTAATGGATAGAACGGTTTTGCTTCGAGGTTATTATTCAAAATTTTAAATGGGTAGAGCTTTTCATGAAGGATCCTTACTATCATGAAACCACGTTCGTTAATTTGAAAATGAAGTTCAAGATACTAATGGATTATGTTGAAAACTATGCAAGAGAATGTATGAAACAAGAACACGCTGCATTGGATTCACTTTCGGAATGGTTCAAGTCAATTTGGTTCATCATTCGTGAGTGATGACACTACAAAACGTCATAGATTTGTTTCATTATCGCCAAATACCAGCTTCACGCAAGGAAAAATAAGCAAAAACCAATAAATTTAAGATTTTGTTGCGTCATTGATGATAACAGTACAAAAAAACTTAAACATTATATTAGCAAAGGGACATTTCATATTTTTGTCTTAAATTATTCCTTTTTATAAGGAAAAGTGTTACATATTCATGCAACAACGGTCGTAAATATTACCATTACACTCAACAATACATGTAATGTGCAGAAAGCAGTCGAAACCGTTGCTATTGCGCTGAGATTGAAATTTCATTGTTTCTAGTTTAGAGGAGGACAATATCGTAATTAAGACTTTTAAATAATCGGTTCGTTAGCTGTTCGTCGTGAGCGGACAATATACTGACTACATCTGTCATAGTCAATTAACTGGAAATAACGTCGGATTAAGCTTTTACAACCATCAGTCAGCAGCTTGACCGCAGTTTAACTTAAAAGACGTGACCGAGGAATTTCCAAAACTTGTGTTCATAGTAGTAACAGTATAATGGAAAAATAATTTAAGCAACGATTATACTCCTCGTTTTCTCGTTCAATTGACGGGGAGTACAATTTTTAAGTCAAAAGAAGAATGAAGGTAATCAACATGTTGTTAATGCTGCTACAGTTCAAGATTTTAAAATCTAATTTGATAAACACTGTCAGAAATGTCACGTTCTCAAATAAGAACAAGGTAAACACAGGCGGAACCAGCGAGCATCAGACACGTTAAACTTCATATTGCGGAAAGAAATATGTTTTTTCCAGTAAGTTCATTACGACAAATGTAAAAAATCCCAATCATTATTATCAACCTTCATCTCTCAAGACCAATCGCTGAGCGTTTGTCCGTCAATTGCCAACATCTTGCATGAAAACCTTGTTTCTGCGAACGACTTCGTAGATATCGAATCACCTGCGTAGGTTAGGTATGCAGACATGTTGCTCTCTAGAAATGAAAAATTTACAAACAGGAAATTAAAATCATCACATTAATTATACAACTGGTAAAAATATTTCCCTCTTGATTATGTTATAGGGAAAGATCGTGTTAAGCGACTGATGTGGATGAGCATTTTAAAGTTGATCCATCGATTGCCATTGTGTACCATTTTCATTCCTCTAGCCTATAGATTTGGGAGCAGAATCCAAATCTTTATCACAGAAAGTTGAATTTAAAATAAGAATGGAGAATATAATATGAGATATAATAATATACATAATACAAATATAAAATATAATAATATATTTAATATATAATTTGAGATATAAAAATATATAATTTTGTAATTATATATTAAAATATATAAATTAAGTCACCTCTTACGAATCATGCAATAGGCTCATCAGAAATAAACCCTATGCCCTACCAGCATCACTGACAAGTCCTAGAAGGACGAAACAGTTGTATCATGCAGTTTAATTCATTGTTTAATTCTACTGTATCTAACTCTAAAAATGTATTAGAAGTGATCTTTCAAAATTTAGTCCCTTAGCTTCACTGATGAATTATTGAATGACGAAACAGCTGTATGATGCAGCTGAATTAATTGTCTGGCTCTACAATATCTAACTCTAAATTTGTATTAAAAGGTTCTATTTACTTGTATATTTTTGTACAATCTTTCAAAATTTATGCCCTTAGCTTCAAAGACAAATCCTGGAAGGACGCAGCAGCTGTATGATGTATTAAAACGTGATATTTACTCATGGGTCTTTTGTACAATCTAAGCAATGTTTGGACTTTTAATTAACTGATAGTACAAAATACACTCTATGAAGTCAATATGAGTATAGTATAGCTATATATCAGATGGAACAGATAAGGACGATGTTGGACAACAAAATGACTTTTATAATCACGTTAGACTTAAAGCTATGATTTTATCCACATTGACGTCAACTGTCTATAGGCTATAAGTGGTTTACTGGTCACTTGTATTGTTATGTAAATAAGAAAGTCATTTGGTTATATCTTGTATCCAGGTCAATATTTCAGTTGTAAATGTCAACAATCTCTTCAGAGATGTTGTCGGGCTCGTTAACACGTGTAACGCATATGTCTGTCTCGTAAAAGAACATAATGCCGTTAGCTGTCCCAATATAGCTTATGATAGAAATGCATGATGGGAAAATCAATGCTCGCAGTTAAATAAAACAACTACGAGTTCATTCCACTCGGGTTGAGATCCACCAATCTTACCTCCAAGGGGTGAAAGATCAATAGATTTTTTCATTAACTTTATGTTGAGATAGCGGGATCTGAATTAATGACCCTTCGGTCTCTAGCTGGACACTCTACCGCTCGACCCGGCTAGTAAGGCGACCATACTCTCAACCTTTACAAATAGATATATCAATATTGGTGGCATCAACAGGTTCAAACAATTAACTGGCCACAACATTTTCCCTTTAACACTTATTTTCCTTCTTGATAATATTTTTGAAAAACACAAATTTTAATCCGCAGTCTATATATAGAAAGACCCTGAGATGTTACTTTCATTATCATCTACCGGGAAACGAAAGTGAAAGTAAACGTAAAATTGTGCGGGAATTCCACGACGTGTCATAATGATATCATTTATTTTTTATAACGCATGGTTAGGTTACAATGATTATAACGTCTCCGAATAGCAGAGATTTAAGTACATGGTTCAGGTATATTGTTATACAGAAAATGCCGTGACATTTACAATGCATCATTCAGTATAAATGTATAATTACATTTGTAGTTAACAGACGAAAATAAAGTTGAAACGTTGTAAACATTTGCTGTGTCCGTGTTGACATATGATTATCAGCGTTTTACTTGCAGGCGACCTTTGATCTTAACTAGGCTCAGTTTTATACCTGGAAACTCAGTCTGTGACGGGCGGCTTGTTGACACTGCAGCGATACGGTAGTATTGTTTATTTAAGTTTTCCCTTTTTTAAGCTTTTTCTTATGCTTTCATCTTTATCGTAACATGCTGTTGAATGTTAATACATGTACCACTAAAATGTCTGCCAGTACAGTTACCGCGGTGGTTAAGTTAACTTTATCAGTTTCAGTTTACAGTTTGTGTGTATACAGAATGGTGTTACTTCTCGCGTTTTAACTATGGGACACGCGAGACAAAGGAAGACACTTATACCTATTGTACGACTAAGAGTTCTTGTTACATCCCCGTGGCAACATGTTGTACTCCTGTCTGTAGATATTGATATTACATGAATTGCTAAACTTGTATTGACTACATACAGTATAATATTTCAAACAATTTGTCTGAAACTAACAGAAAATATTCAATCATTTTGTCCAGTTAATCTTTTAAATTACCATTCACGGAAATCCTGATGTTGTGTTTCTTTTATATATATTCACTCGCCTAGATCGAAGGGCTAGATTCATATTGTATCATAATTACCAATGTGACTTGTGATAACTTAGTATCCGGTGATAATTTGGATTAAATTCGTCCCTGACAGATAGACAACCTTCAGTTTTATTTCTATCTTAATTCAGGTGAATTAACATACAATAGTAGACATGTACACGACTTAACACTTGATTGACTCAATCTGATTATGTCGTTATCACGTGATGTTAGACCAGGTACGAATGTGGCAAAAGCTTAAATCGAAACAAAATTTACAATTTAATTGACAATTATTGTGTAACATAGTAAATTTATTCTTAAAAATCGATATAATTTTCTCTCAGTCAACTCCTACATCATTTTGAACCATTTCTTATAATATTTCACAGAATCAAAACCGACAAACAAGCCAGGGAATTCACCTATTTTCAGGAGAGATCTATCTGATTAATTCAGATGTCAATAAGACATGTATTCATTCAGTTTAGGAAAAGCGAAAGTGAAAGCAGTCACATCAATTCTATTAATTTACCTATATTTGACCTATGAACTTGTCAATATACAAAACATTTTAGGATAATTCCTACTTACAGTATGGCAGGCCAATCTCTTCAACAACGAAATTTCCTGGAATAAAATTGCTATACAATGTAACTGACGGAGATTCTGCATACGTCACTAACCATTCAAGGGACGAAACTCTGTGATGACTTATTCGAACAGCTACTGTACGCTCAGCTTATTTTGATTTTCATAGTTTTAATAAACAAATTTATAGATATAAACCCCCGAACTATTTTCTGGCTAAGAACCATCATCATTTATAATAAAACACTAAAAAAAATCAAACAGCGAATATTCAATAAATTGACTTAGGGCGAATAATTACCCGATCTACGAGGATTTTTGGCATCGTAAACGTCTTATGCTTAATCTGAATTTAACAAAACCTGAACAGGGATAATAGCGACAAGTACCATTAAGGTAACCATTAAAAAGCATCATACATATTCTTATTTTTTATTTTATATTTTTATATTCATTAAGCTAACGGTACATTCAATTACTCGGAAAAACATTTTTTGCGATCAGCGTGGATAGGCCGTCGTTTTATGTAAAATACTAACATGTGAATCATGATCCGAAATCAAGCACGTATTCCTTTATCAGCAGGTTTAACAGATATGCCTAGGTCGTACGTAAACAACGCCTCCAACCGAAGTCTGGGGAGGGTGGGCATGCCCGTCGGTAGTATGCCGGTGTCACGAGGATCAGCTGGGTCATCAGCTAGTGGTTTTGGAGCAAGTTCCTTCGGAAGCGGATCATCCACCAAGACTTATGTAGATAATGCATCTAATCGAAATCTTGGAAGGGTGGGCATGCCCGTCGGTAGCATGCCGGTGTCACGAGGATCAGCTGGGTCATCAGCTAGTGGTTTTGGAGCAAGTTCCTTCGGAAGCGGATCATCCACCAAGACTTATGTAGATAATGCATCTAATAGAAATCTTGGAAGGGTGGGCATGCCCGTCGGTAGCATGCCGGTGTCACGAGGATCAGCAGCTAGTGGTGTTGGAGCATCGCAAAGCTCATCTCCAAAAACCTATGTAGATAATGCGTATAACCGGAGTAAAGGAAGGGTAGGAATGGAACATGGAACAGCAGTCATATCCAAGAACTCCACTCAGTCCCAAGGTGTGAAGTTATATGTTGACAACGCCTTTAACCGGCGCATTGGGCGTGTCGGTTTACCTGTCGGCTCCATGGTGGTGTCTAGGACCTCACGGTCAGGAGAAAAACATAACAAGAAGAAACCAACTCCTGGCAAATCGAAAGACGATACAATGAAATCGCATATTAAAGACATAGTGGACAATTATATTGAGAACCCTGTGAGTATTTCGTAATTTTCTTTTTTTATGCAGTGAATTAAGCTAACTGTTTTTGTTGTTTAATATTTCCAATTATTAAGATTGGAGTCCATAACAACGTGTTACCTGGATGTGTAGCGTTATGTTAGCGAGAGCAATTCACTATTTTTTATTATGAAAAACATACCTCTTGTTATGACCACATGTGCAGAACAGTAATTGACTGAACGTTCTCATTGATGTGACGTCATAACGTCATGACGTCATCTCCATTCCGACGTCATTTATGAAAGAGGCATCAACTATTTAAATTTTTTATCTACTAATTCTTACATTTATTTTTGTATTTACAAATACCCACAAAAGTACGCAAGTTATTGGATAAAAAGAATCTTGCAAGAGTTTGGCGAAACTGTCACGAAAGTTTCATTTCGCCTTGCCAGAAACTCATTGAAATGAGTTATTCTCAGACTCAATCAAAGGATAGGAATCTTTATGTAATATAGATAATGCCTTCAAAGTACTAGAACATATATCAATACATACAACTATCTATGAAAACACTCTACTGTTCTTCTTGTAACGATTCAACATTTCTATATGTCTCTATTCTGATACAAACAAATTACCGTGTAGAAATCAAACTTTACGCTACACAATAAATGCAATAGTTACCGATAGATAATGACTGATGGACAGTACTTGAAATCTGCCTTTAAAATTTAGATTGAAATAATAATTTTAATTTTAAATGGTAACGTCTTCAAACATTTCCTTTGGCGACGCATATTAAAATGAAATCCTGTTTTCCCTTAATCTAAAGAAAATCAAAATCCGTTTTGTATTTTAAGCTGTTGTATTTGTTTCTTTCCTTACCTATTTTTCGTGTTGTGTTTAAAACGTTAAACTACTTTTCTTATTCCGTATTTTATTTCTCGTCCAGGAGATTGATGTAAACCCCTACTACCTGAATGAAGACGATGCATATTCGGAGGAAGTTAGCGAACAGGCTATTGACCTAATTCACCGAATGGATCAGATCCGACTTTGGCAGCAGAAATCAAACAAGAGTACAGGGCCGATGACGTCATATGATCTCCTTCAAAGTTACCGCGGAGAAAAAATTCAGTTCGACGAGCTGATTTTGGATGAGAAAATAGGTCATGGTGGATTCGGTGATGTCCACTGCGCCACGTGGAAGGGGACTGTGGTTGCAGTAAAGAAACTTAGAGTTCAGAGGGTATCACAGAAACGATTAGAAGAGTTCGCTTCGGAAATCAAAGTCTTCTGCACACTCGACCATCCAAATATTGTCCAGTTCCTTGGTGCCTGTTGTGTGACACCGAACATCGCAATCGTCATGGAGTTCATGGAGGGATGTCTGTTCCAAATGTTGCACATGAACGACAATATCTCCCTGACAGAAGACGACAAGCTAAGCATCATTGTCCAGATATGCCGAGGGTTAGATTATTTACATGCGAATAACATCGCTCACTGTGATATAAAATCACAGAACGTTCTCATGGCGACCGGTGACCGCGGCTATGTGGCAAAGATCACTGATTTTGGGCTCAGCATGATGAGGAACAATTCGGATACGTCTTCCACTAACCATGACCAGGTAAGTCTAACTGTATGAAATGGCCTGACAAAGCAATAACAGTAATAAAATATACATAGAATTGGTGTAACCGTTAAGTCCTAAAGAAATATGCAATCATACATCTTTATCTCGGACTCGCATAACTTGAAAATCCCGTTTAATCCGAAGCATTTCGTCGGTGCCTGCCTAACTTTACACAAAACATTCGAACTCACTTTAATCGAATATTCGGTTATCTCGTTTTCCTATGATCTCACTGAATTCGAGATAAAGAGGTTCAGACTGTTATTGAAATTCATAGGCAGTGGATTAAAAGATAAACAAAGGTTTCTATTCAGAAATTGATTATACTATGTTAATGACATCCGGTAGATTTTACGAGAATGGAAGGTCAGGTTGGCCATATGCACATGAAGATGTTGTATTGAAGGTATACAATGTGTATTTCATTTTGGCACTTATAGAAAAGAATGAATAGATTAATGCACACCCTACACCTTTTTCGTTGACAGTCATGATAAATACTTCCAAACGTATAGTAAGATTTTCATAAATATCCGGTATCATGTAATTTTTTTTTATTTCATTAGGTTCGGAATATCGGAACCCCTCGTTATTCTGCTCCAGAAGTACTGCGTGGGGAGCTGTTAGATCGAGCTGCCATGATGAGAGCCGACATGTACTCCCTTGGTCTGGTGGTGTTTGAAGTCATCTCCCAAGATGAACCGTTTGATTCCCTGAACGCCAAACAGATAGAACGTTTGGTTGGAAACGGGAATGAAATGCCCGTATTCGGAACTGACGTGGAAGAAAACGTGGAGGCAAACGTGAAAACATGCTGGAGCAGAGATCCGTTTCTTCGACCCTCTTCGTCCTGTTTCCGTGACACGGTAGAAAAGTGGGAGTGTCTTTACATGTGAAAAACTTATGTGACATTGGAAGCTTCATCATATTGGTTTGATTGTGAATTTTTCACAGATATGGTTATTCATATGTATCAACATTCTGGCGCTTTCTTACTAACAAGACACTTTTATTGAACATTGTTGGTGTGCTGGGTCCAAACTGTCTTTGCATTTACTACAATACGTTATATCTTATAGCATTGATAATCATATATTAGTGTAATCACGTTTTTGGGTGCCATTTTAGAAGTAACAAATGGCCCTATACATAAACTGTTGATACACCGAACACCTGGTTGTTGATCGGTAGTTAGCTCATCTGTTCTTCCATCCATCAATAGAACGGAAAGGTGATAGCTTGTTTTTTTTTCCCAGAGAGTGGAATGGGTCCGATTCTAATACTGTTGCACCCTTCGTGTATAGCTGTCCTTGGGTTGTTTGTTGTTTGTGAAGCGATATGAATTTTAACTATATTTTATTTTTTATATGCTCTAATGAACAAATTCAGTACCTAACACTAGTTAAGTCAGTGTGTGAATTGACTAAATCCATTATATATTTTATAAAATACACATGTCGGTTATAATTAATGGAAATTTCGTATCAACATTGTTACTAGGCCGTGTCCGACTCATCAAATCCTCAACACTTTCGGAGCTGGTACCCCTGTTAGTTAAACTTTCCTTGAAAACCCAAGCTGTGATATGGTTTATTTGAAAGAAAAAAATCCTTTCCGTAAAAATAGTCTACTAACTTGTTGACGTATAAATAAATAAAATAAGGAGACAAAATGTATACTAATTAAGATAGGACACATCTGATTTCCTGTTCACTTGATTTCGAGTTAAATTCTCGGAATCCTTCGTCACTTTTCCTTTGTTATAATATCTTTGTTTTAACCTGTGTCCTAATTACGTAGTTTTGATGTACTTGTGATAATTACTATGACTTTTTATGCGTTAGTAGGTTTTGATTTCACTGAATTTAATTATGTTTGAATGTTCAAGAAATTCCCTTTGAAGTTATGTTCAAGTACAAACATTCTAAATTATGTATACTGTATAAATAATGTATATCTTTATTATAAATATATCGCTCGATCAAATTGTGCTCGCAGTTAGACTCGATTTATCTCAATTTCAATGTATAGATTATGCAATATAATATCATGTGTTCTACAAAAATACTGCGGCAATATCGTCTATTTTGAATTTTGACCAATGGTTAATAGGCTCGCGATGTTGGCCGTTTTTTAAAATGTGATAGAAACTTTTATCTGAAACTGACCATGACCATTTTCCTTCACTCTCTTTTTACGCTCAAACAACTAAATTGTCCATTTGAGCAAGTTGTTAAATCCATCGGTGGATTTAGACAGGTTTAAAATGTCTTTTACCCAGGTTTGTTATCAGTTTCTCTTTCTACTCTTTTGTTGTTGAATTTTACTAATATTTGAAATACCAACTAACCTACAAAATTTTGTCACTTGTAACTTTTATTGGGTATATACTTATTAACGGCTTAAATGTCGATACTATTAACATGAATTATTTCGTTGCGCGAGTCATTTTAACAAAAGTTGCTTCCCCTGGACAAGTAGATAAGCGGTGACTTCATTAACCAACACTCGATATACACATTATGTGTAACGACGGCACGGTGTTGTGTCACTTCAGTGATGGGGTTATACTTTTCGCTGTTTATTCCAGATATTTATCTAAAATAAAATTACTTTTAATCTTAATAAAGTGTTTATTTAATATCATATTCATTACAATAGGTAAGTTTCTAAAGAAAACCTGCGGTAGCTGTTCCGAGCCCTATTCTGAAAATTATGTGCACACCGATTGCCGGGAACATGCCTGTGGAAGGGGATTAGTGGTCATGACGAGACAGTTATTTGGAGAGTAAATGCACCTGGATACGGCAGCAAATTGCCAGTTTTATCTGTGTAGCCGGGTCAGGTATACATTTCAAGAACAAGCAAAGATCTTGGTTCATTTAATCGTTTATTGGACCGAAAGACCATACAATTACAGAAATGGCACATATTTAAGGTAAAAGAATTAACTTGTAGCTCCAGCATGTATGAGAAATGAAACATTTCAACATTTGCAGTTCGAAAGTTTTGGTTACTCATGGAGATATAGAACACTTCGCGCAGTACAGGAGTGTTTCTATTGGCCTTTATTACAGGGGAAAAGGTGTAGGGCTTGTGACACGCGCGGAAGGAAAAATCAACCCCATTTGGGTATGATTCCATTTCATCCGTCCGAGGTCGTGTCCAGTCTTTTAGAGAGAATTACAGTAGATATTATGGTTTGGCTGGTCACGACAGCAAACGGTAATAGCTATTGGTTATAAGTGACTATTTTTTCAGAGTGGAAAGAGGGTTATGCAGTGCTGAACCACACAGCTTTGAGAGTAGCAGATAAATTAATCACTTAATTTATTTGTCGGTTCGAGGCCATCGTGGTTTCCACTTTGATCAGGGGAGATATTTGAATCAAATCTATTTCAAACCATTTGTGCTAAGCTAGGGAAAAAGAAAACTAAAAAAAAAACCTTCATATTGGCGAGAATTTGATGGTCTAATATTATCCTATCAGATACTATCCTTCAGGAATAATCACATTATGTCATGATGGTCTACAGGTTTAAAGGGAGGAGCAGAACTGGATATACCCCTTAATTTATCTTGCCGTGTAGATAGGGAGACCTCATGTCCCATAGATAAAGCAGTTGGATTACTCCCGGGTTCTCAGGAAATATGTACAATTCCGTTTGTATACTTGGTACAGGAACCTATGAGGCCCGCTCATGATATCGTATTTTTGTCTGGAGACGATATTCCCCTTGCTATCAGCATATTTGGCCAGGGATGGACAGGACCTTATAAGGTGCTTAGGAAGCTATCAGATCTAAAATATACTGTATAAGATAAGGAAAAGTGTTACGCCTCCACGCCAATTTATAACATCAACTCCGAATAACTTTGCTATTCCATTATTGACCTGGATAGCCGTAAACAACTACAAAACAGAAATAATGAATAACCAGACATTACAATTTACATACCTGACATTTCGACGCACAGACAGAACCAACAATTTTCAACAAGTAAATTATAATTATCAAACACACAAAAACTACGCTGTGGTGGTATTCTTGGTTCTGTGCAGAGCATCCCAGATGCTGTGAAGTGGATGTGACCATCGTCCCAGACGTTTTACGGTCACTTGGCATGCATAGCTTGCTGAGGACAACGCATGTCCGCGAAAAGGTTATCGAAACGAAACCACTTCCGGTGGGTAAGACTAATGTCCGGACCAAAACAAGAATCCCGGATTTAAAGTCGCTATTGGCGGCGCAACAAAACAATCATCGGGAGAAAGCAATAGTTTTACATGGGGATCATCTGAAACCATGCCAGTGTAACGGTACCGCAGAGGCACAGGTGGAAACATATTCTAATGGTTTCTCAGAAACTCCAACAGAAACACAAACCCCATGTGTAGACATAGCCAACAGCATAAGCAGCCTTATACTAATGTATTTGGAGCTGAGCACAGTTCGCCTCCTTGGTAGCATCACATGTTAATCTGATTCAGGTTTGTATATAGGAGACAAGGTACGAGGGATAATTTCTTTACAAGGAAGCGGACGCGTAGATCTGTGGATCTAGAATATAATGGATAATTTTGGCTGATGTGTTTCACACTAATGGATTGTGCTGAATATACAATAAAAATAGTATTTTGTAGGGTAATTGATATTGTTGACACACCGTGTGTGCTTGTAGACCTTAAATTATTGTCATTTTGAGACAATCAAATTTTTTAGAATCATCTGATCGATTTCAGTGTCATTGTGAAACGCTTCATCAAACTTGTTTGCAAAATAAAGCTTTGGTTTAAAGAAATGGTTTGTGTTTTATAGTCTAAGGTGCGTGGCTTACAGTTGTATATGTATAATATTTATGTCTGATTTTGTGGTCCAAGTGTAATGTAACACTACAGTATTTAGTGTAATGTAAAACTACAGTATCAAGTGTAATGTAACACTACAGTATCTAGTGTAACACTACAGTATCTTGTGTAACACTACAGTATCTAGTGTAATGTAACACTACAGTATCTAGTGTAACACTACATTATATAGTGTAATGTAACACTACAGTATCTAGTGTAACACTACAGTATCTAGTGTAACACTACAGTATCTAGTGTAACACTACAGTATCTAGTGTAATGTAACACTACAGTATCTAGTGTAATGTAACACTAAAGTATCTAGTGTCTTGTAACACTACAGTATCTAGTGTAATGTAACACTAAAGTATCTAGTGTATTGTAACACTACAGTATCTAGTGTAATGTAACACTACAGTATCTAGTATAATGTAACACTACAGTATCTAGTGTAAAACTACAGTATCTAGTGTAACACTACAGTATCTAGTGTAACACTACAGTATCTAGTGTAATGTAACACTAAAGTATCTAGTGGAATGTAACACTACAGTATCTTGTGTAACACTACAGTATCTTGTGTAATTCTACAGTGTCTAGTGTGATGTAACACTACAGTATCTAGTGTAATGTAATACTACAGTATCTAGTGTAATTCTACAGTGTCTAGTGTGATGTAACACTACAGTATCTAGTGTAATGTAACACTACAGTATCTAGTGTAACACTACAGTATCTAATGTAATGTAACACTACAGTATCTAGTGTAACACTACAGTATCTAGTGTAACACTACAGTATCTAGTGTAATGTAACACTACAGTATCTAGTGTAATGTAACACTACAGTATCTAGTGTGATGTAACACTACAGTATCTAGTGCGATGTAACACTACAGTATCTAGTGTGATGTAACACTACAGTATCTAGTGTAATGTAACACTACAGTATCTAGTGTAATTTAACAGTATCTAGTGTAACTGTACAGTATCTAATGTAATGTAACACTACAGTATCTAGTGTAACACTACAGTATCTAGTGTAATGTAACACTACAGTATCTAGTGTATTGTAACACTACAGTATCTAGTGTAATGTAACACTACAGTATCTAGTGTAATGTAACACTACAGTATCTAGTGTAATGTAACACTACAGTATCTATTGTAATGTAACACTACAGTATCTAGTGTAACACTACAGTATCTAGTGTAATGTATCACTACAGTATCTAGTGTAACACTACAGTATCTAGTGTAATG